ATCAGCTAGTCCAATATCAACAAATACATACTAAAAAGAAAGAAGAAAACCTTGAGGGAAGTCATTCAGGAGCCATATGGAAATTTCATAAAATTTATAGTGACAATTAAAAAAAAAAACTGAATTCATCCTCAACCAAAGGCATACTGTTGGTGGTGTTTGAGTAGAGGATTGCAGCAGAATAACACAATATTTTATTGTGTTTTTGGTGAAGGTTTACATAGCAGTTTAGGTTCCCATTTGACAATTTCTATTACATTGTTTGATGACATTGGTTACATTCTTCCCAGTGCATGAACATTCTCATTATTTTTGTTTTGGTAGTTCCATTTTCTTTCTTCCTTTCTTGAAAAGAAATAACAAACAAAGAGATGCTGCTATTTATTATCCTTTAATTTATTCATAAAGAGTTAAGTTAAAGGTTTATCTAGAATGTGGATTACTGCACAATTGTCATGAATAGCAAGAAAGTTCCCCAGTAATCTTCTCAAGAGTTAAGACTCCTGGTTATGAGCCTGGCTTGGCTAGGGGCTCCTCCTTGATGCTCTCATAGTAACCTATGCATAGAGCTATCATTGTGCTAAAAACATTTCATAGTAACTACCTCGGCATGAGGTAGTCTTACCTCACTAGACTGTGAGGTTTTTTTATTTTGAGACTAAAGACTGTCTTATTCATTGAGCTTTGAATTCTCAGAGCCTATCAATAGTGTCTGCCATAGAACTGGTACTCAATATACTGAACTTTCATCTATCTAGTTGCTTAGGTCAAAATCCTAGGAGTCATCCTTAATGACATTCCCTCACTCGCTCCATTAAGTCAGTGGTAAGACCATTCCACTCTACTTGCAAAACACATCCCTAACCCTACAACTCTTTACCATTTTCAGTGCTGCTATCCTAACCCAAACCACCAACATATCTCTTCTGGACCTAATGGGGCTGATTAGGTCTTTTCTCTCCCCAGAAAGAGAGATTCAAAGAGGCATAGCGAGCTCTTTCAGGAGCCTCATGTGGAAGACTGGATTATTGCCAGGACTGTGGACTATGGACAGTGACACACATTCAAAGCAGTGTGCTCGGCCACTCTCTCTGAGTGGGACATCGCTGTTTCCATCTCTGCCAGTCGAGAGATTTGATTGCTTGCAATAAATACACTGACCCTGTTTTCCAATGGGGAGATCGTTGAGCTGTTCTGGTTATTGTTCTGGTTGACCCACAGTCTACAAATTTGGGTCAGTTCTGGTTTTGCTTTGTCGGCCATGACTGAACTGGGGAGAACTGTTTTGAAGCCCTGGTTGAAAACCAAACAATTTGCAGCAGGAAAAGCTGCCATGGTTTCAGAAGCCAGTGTTAGATATACCAGTATACTAGTCATTTAAGAATTCTCCATTCAAACTCTTATTCCCTTCCCAATCCACCCACCTCTCTCTCCAACCCACCTTTGTGCCAGATAAGTTGATTCCCTCTTTGGAGTAGCTCAGACAATAAAAGGTACTTGAAGAATATAATATGACTCATCACAGAACAAGAAATCTTTCCTCATAGATTGATCTTAGGCTTATGGCCAATTTGGACTTCCGTTTGGCACTATTCCCTCAGCATCCCTTCTGAATTGTCCTTTCAGTGCTCAGCTTAAAACTTTGTGCAAGAAGCCATTTTTAACGTGATAGGAAGAGATGAAGCCTGATACCTATATTGTGCCTCCAGTGTCGACACATCCACCATGAGTATACAATTATTGAACTTGTATAATTATGCTGGAATCTCAGTTTTATAATTTACTAAGTATGACCTTGAAGAAAATGGGGGTAATAAAATGCGCTTTGCAGGGCCATGTGGACTAAGTCAGATAGCAATGTGAAAATTTTTTCTGTTCTGGTTATTGTTCTGGTTTACCCACAGTTTACAACTTTGTTCTGGTATGGCTCAACAAATGGCAGATTTCTTGTCAATTCTGACCATACTTTCTGAGTTATTTAGTCTATAGCTAAGTTTCTTGAAATTAAAAGCACTTTTTCCTGTGCTCTGTACTCCCACCTTAACTAACACAATGCCATCCATCCTGAGGAGACACAGTGAAATGATGTTTAGGAAGCAGCAGGTCAAGGATAAACTTGAGAAAGATTGATGCCACAAATACATAGACAAGAAGAGAGAATTCTGGGTAAATGGAAAAGAAAGAGTGGTAGTAAAGGCTTTTGTACACCTCCTCTTTCCACTCATTTAAAAATTTATCTTGTGAATAATAGGGGCAGAAGGTCTCATCCTGAGAGTGTGGTGCTGAAGACTATGTGCCAATACACCTGATATTGATTCATGCCAGCTGGGAGAGGAGCTTGGCTTCTCAGTGCTCTTTACTACTGTGGTTTTCTGGGCTGGGCAGCTGAGTGCCTAATAATGATAAAACCCATAATAATACTTCATAATTACGTACTGCCCTTTGCCAGAACTTGGATTTAATTATAATGACTATGACAGAGTTGGCAACACACTCCCTATTGGGGTGCAATACCCAAGGGCCTCGAAAAACAAAGTAAAGGGGCAGCTGCAACCTTCTTCTGCAGGGCCCTTCTGGCAATTCACCCAGATTTCTCTGGGTTTTAAGTTCATCATCAGAAACAAAGTGTACTTTCAAATTGTCCACACATCCCTGGCACTGTCAAGTAAACAGAGGTGTATATAAAGTATGGCAGGTATGGCACGTGCCCTGGGCACCACTTAAAGGAGGACATAACTGAGCAGTTTCTATTGGCCACTGCAGTTTCCATTGTCAGTTGTGAGAGATTATTCAGCAATTTAAAATTAACTGCCGTAGGTGATATTTTTCACATATGTGCCGCTGCAAGTAAAGTAGTGAAGCAACTACTGCTACATGTGGGACACAGTATCATGAAATCCTTTGCAGGCCAGAGTGAGTGCTGCAAGGCATCACTGCCACTAAATGGGGTAGTTTGCTGACCTTTCCATTCTGAGTTGTCCTGAAGATGCTTTTGTGGTAACCTGTTTCAGGTATTAGAGGATTCACCTCTCCCTTTAACAATAATTTTCTGAGTACCTACTCTGAGCCAAGGCCTGTAGGGGCACAAAGATATATAAAGTATGACCTATGCCCCCAAAGTAATTTATATAGTCTACTTGGGGAATTTGTATTCAGGCAACTCTTATGTGAAGATACGGTTTCCAAGACTATAATCTTCAGAGAAGCAGACTGCCACACCCCTATACCCTGGGCATCTCAAACACTGCCTGGCACAGAGTAAGTGCTCAGTAAATATTAGCCTAATGAATAAATGACCCAAGTGAGGCAGCAGCAGTGGAGATGGAAAGGAAAGGGAATTTAGTAAATATAATCAACATGTTAGATGAAATTAGAAAAGATAAAGGTATGACAGCAGTAAGGGAGTGGATTGGAGTAATGGAGGATTACTACTAGATTCCAGGTGCACGGCTTGGGTGAGTGGATGGTGGTTTTATTAAAGAAGATAAGGGACAGAGAAGAAAGAACAGGTTCTGTAGACATGGAAGGAACCCTGGTGGCACAGTGGTTAAGGACTCAGCTGCTAACCCAGAGGTCAGGAGTTCAAACCCACCAGCTGCTCTGCATCAGAAGGATGTGGCAGTTTGCTTCTGTAAAGATTATAGCCTTGGAAACTCTATGGGACAGATCTACTCTTTCCTAAGGGATCACTATGAGTTGGTATAGATACGGCATGGCAATAGGTTTCCAGGGTATATGAGTTCTGATTTAGCTCTGTTAAATGGAGGTTTAGGGGAGATGTCCAATGGGCACTTACATATGCAGATACATTGCAGATACATTGTTGTTGGTGGTGCCATCCAGTCAGATCTGACTCATAAAACACTGCCTTGTCCTGTGCCACCCTCACAATCCTTGCTATATCTTTATGCAGATATGGACCTCATTAAATGTACAGTCAGCAGTTACAGCTATCAAAATGGGTAGGTGACCTAGTGTGCAGGATGACTGACTATATGCTTATTGAAAAGAGGATTGAGGATCAGCCCCAAGGAAACCTCAACATGTAAGGGTTAAGAGAGAACAGATTCAGAAAACTTAACCGAAAAGAAAGACAATTGGAGAGTTTATGATGTCAGGGAAACCAGGATGGAGGGTGGGTTGCGGAGGAAAGAACGCTTCAAGGACATCTTGCTAAGAATTTATTACAGAGGATTAAATTTATTAGCAGAGGATTAAACCGTGGCCCATGAACTTGGTTATAAGGAGGTCCCTGGTAGCTTTAAGGTGGACACTATCAGGGGACTATAGGGAGAATAATTTAGCATGTCGTTGAGATATGAATTGAAATAAGGACAGGAGGTAGACAGGGTCTCTGTCAAGTTGTGTGCGTAAGTTTACAGGCGCTCAAACACTATCAAGAATTAACTACGTTTCTAAAAGGCCAGATGGGAAGTCCTGCAGGCGTCACAGTTCCTCAACTATGCTTCTTTACCCTTTCAACCATTTCTAGGACGAGGGCTTTTCCATATAAGTGCGGGAAAACGAGGGATACTGAACACCCCATAATCTGATTTGATATTTTTGCCACACCTGGGAGTGGGGATGAGAATACTTGACTTAAATGAGTTGCTTGGCTCCCTGTGGATCTTGGAATTTGGTGACTAGGTGGCTCCATGCGGCAGGGAGCTAGGAAAACTCATTCACATCTTCCTACCCTGCACTCCCGCCCTCCATTCAGCATTTTCCTCTCCTTTTCTACGACAGGATTGAACACAAGGACAAATATTTCTCTTTACCCCTACCTCAGGTTGACTTCCTACCCGCAAGCCCACCCAAGGCCTTTCCCCGACCACGTGACCCCATCAGTGCGCGTGACTCGCCGCTGTTGACCCCTCCTCTCGGCTCCGCAACTCGCTTTTTCCGCCTCCTCCCAAACCCACGTGACCACCTCTCTCTCTCACCTGACTGGCTCCTCCCTTTTCCCTGCCGGACCTGCAGCCGTCGCAGCTGCCCGACTCCAAAATGGCAGCCGCGTACTGCGCGTACCCGGGCGGCTGGACCTCCCTGACTCCCAGGCCACCCCCTTCTCACTCCCTGCCCCCCTCCTTCGGCCTTCACCTACATGCCTCCGGATTGGCCGCTAGGAATCCCGCCCCTCCAGAGCCCCACCTGCTATTGGTCACGGTAGGCTGCCCTTCAGAGAGGCGTGCCCCCGCCCGCCCCTCGCCCCGGGAGGTATTTTCCATTCCGGTGGGGGTTGGGGGGAGGGGGGAGGGGAAAAGAGTGAAGAGGGGGAGGTGGCCGGGGAAGGGGGTGGGGGCCAGGCGGGGGCATCCGGCGGAGCTGGGGTCCCCGGGCTCCGTCCAGAGGAAGCGAGACTGCACTCGCTCGGGCAGTTGGAGGGGACGGGACGGGGCCGGCGAGCAGGTGAGCGGACTCGCCCTCTCGGTGACTGTGCCGTCCGGGCCCGTCCTTCCTGGTCGCAGGTGCCCCTGGATGAGGCGCGCGCCCCGACCGGTGAGTGTTCCTGCGGCTTGCGCCCAATCCGGCGCTTCCTTCGCGGCCTCCGCGCCGCCGTTAGCGGCCGGCTTTCTGTCCCTTGGGTGCCCACGCCCGGCGCAGTCTGCCTCCGGCGGGCGCCTCCACACCCCAAGCGGAGGCAGTCGGCCCTGGGGCCAGGATGGGCAGCTGGGAAGAGAACAGCGGGCGAGGGACGGCGACCCGGCACCGCGAACCCGGTGCCCACCGCGTCGCGTGTAGAGGGACCTTGCCCTTAGTAGGCTCTCGATGTATTTCTGGATAATTGTTTTTCTGGCTGGAGGAACGTAGGGCACCTTAGGGGAAACGAGTCGTCCCAGGGTGGTAGGAGGGCGTTCGTGATCGAGGTCGTGGTGAGTCGGGTAAAGCCGCCGGAGCTCTCGTGGGGCAGTTACAGGAGCTGCAGAGAAGAGGACACCCGGCAAGTTACTTGGGGCTCCATCTGGGGTTCCTCAAGGTCGAGGAGAAGAGATCTGGGGAGGGAGAGAAGAAACTGGGAATCTTGGATGGGGGAGGCCACTAAAGCACCTAAGAGGGTTTAGCTTGAAGGGATGCGGAGGCGGGCGCAAGGAAGACCCTTCTGCAACTACTTAGGTTCTAAGATTCTTTGGTACTTTTGTTTGGACAGTCAAGTAGCTGAAGCGAAGTGACTTCATGGAGAGGGAGTTGCATTTAAAGAAGGATGGTAACAAGCAGTTTTAAGTCCACATCATGGTTTGGTTCTGAAGTTTTAAAAAGACGGGGATCAGAGTCACGAGGTCATTTTTGACACTGTCTTTTGGCTTTCCAACAGAGGTGGCTTGCTGCTGGACCCTTTCGCTTATTCCTTACAAATGTAGGTATGTGTTCGATGGTATTCTACTAGTGATTAGTTTTCCTGGAAATTCTCACAACTGTATCTTCAAATTCTCGTAGCAGCCTCTCCATCTATACTGGTGATTTCTTCCCATTTTAACATTTAGACTGGACTGTCTTCAGTTTTCATTCTAAAATATTAATAAGTAATTGACATGCTTTCTTTCCCTTGTTTTTGTCATGCAAAATTGAACTGCAGGTTTCACAGGGGTTTTGAAATATTTTTTATCTTCAAATTTTGAACTGAGGAAGTAGTAACTTAACAGCTTTAGAAAGCAATACTAAAATCAGGTTGAATTATTTTAACAGTTGAGAATCTTAATGTCAGACGCTTAATTTTAATACTCTTGCATTTACATAATACTCTTTTGAGAATGTGCAATTTAGAAAATGCACACCAGGATAACTGGCAGTCCACTCAGAACAGTAAACTAAGAATTGCAGAGCTAGATTTTTAGTCTTTTTAATATTTTTTAACCGCATCTAGGTATCTTACTAATTCTTCACATTTTAAAGTACTTTCTTCACAATTTACAAAATGAAAGCTTGTTTTATTAGGAAAAGTGTGGAAAAAAATGTATATTATATTTTTCCCTTTCATTCATCAAACAAAACATTTCTGCAAAAAGATGTTAATATTTTCACTTGCCACCTTCTTAGTTCTTGAATAACTAATGTATAATTATAGTTTTTTTTTCCCTGTTGTCCTTGAATTTTACTATTTGTCCTTAGGGAGAATGTACTGGCACACAAACAGCAGTCTAAAATATTGAAACCTAACACCTTTTAACATTATAATACCTTCTGCATTATTTACCTTGAGAACCATCTGTAGCAAACCTATGATCAGGAAGTCTTTCCCCCATCACCTTTGTTTAGCTTTGGGCTGTTTTCTTCTTCTGCAGAACTAAGGAAATACACATTTAATGGCTGTGACAAAATGGTAATTACTAAACAGAATTAGAATGGGAAGCTAGGAAAAAGATGTGTGTAGAAGAGAGCTGAAAGAGTAGAGCATGTGATGATGATTCTTTCTCAGATCAGGAAACCAAGACCCAGAGTAGTTGGGACTGAACCGCAGACCCAGAATTGCTGTTCAAGTCTCTGGACTCCAGTCCAGTTTTTCTGCTTTATCACATTCACATTATTTATTTATAATGCATTCTAGTACCAGCTATAAATGGGTTTTGGATTATTAGTGATACTGTTCTCCTCTAAGGATAGGGATGTTTGAGTTGAGTAACTACTTTTATACATGAAATGATCCAAAGCTGGATGAGCTTTTATTGAAAAGTTTAAAACAATATGCAGCATTGTTTGTGGAAACCCATTGACAACCTGTTACCATCAAGTTGATTCCGATTGGTAGCAACCCAATAGGACAGAGTAGAAGTGCCCCATAGGGTTTCCAAGGTAGTAATGGAAGCAGATTGCCACATCTTTTTCCTGTGGAGCAGCTAGTGGGTTTGAACTGCTGACCTTTCTTCTAGTGCTTAACCATTGTGTCATCAGGGCTTATTATTATTTGTGGAAGTGCTGACATTTCCTTAATGGAATAAAGGAAAAAACTGATCTAGATTAAAATATGATATGAACTCTGTTTTATACCTTTTAGTGCTAACATATTTGCTTTAAAGATTTTCAAAAATAAAAAGGCTCATTTTTGAAGTGCATTTTATGGAAATTATTTTTAGTAAATAAGAGGTTTTGTTATGTCGCTAAAATAGATTTTAGTACCTTTAGAAAAAGCAGTAATAGAATCTTATGATAATTATGAAAACATAATTTCTAGCATAGTTGTTATAAAAAAGATTGTATTTGTATCTCAGCCACTTAATAACATTATGATTTAGCAACTGTTGTTGTTATGTGCTGTTGAGTCACCCTCAACTCATAGTGACCCCTCCTTGGATTTCCGAGGCAGTATCACTACAGAAGTAGATTGCCCCATCTTATTTCCGAGGAGTGGCTGGTGGGTTTGAACCTCCAGCCTTCTGGTTAGCAGTCAAGTGCCTTAGGCTCTATGCTACCAGAGCTCCCGATTTAACTACTCTGTACCTAGATTTCCTCATCTGTAAAGTGAAGATAGTAAAAGTACCTACCCCTCTTATGGTGGTAGTTTTAGTTTCACTTACGTTGGTTCTTATTCATGGCAACCCCATGTGTGCAGAACAGCACTGCTCCATAGGGTTTCCAAGGTTGTGACCTTTCAAAAGCACATTGCCAGGCTTCTCTTCGTAGTTGCCTCTGGGTGAGTTTGAACCACCAACCTTTCAGCTACTAGTCAGGCATTTAGCTGCTTGTCCACCCAGGACCTCCCCTCATAGGGTAGTTATTGTTGTTAGGTGCCATTGAGTCATCTCCAACTCATAGCAACCCCATGTACAACAGAACGAAACACTGGCTGGTCCTTTGACATCCTCACAGTCCTTGCTATGCTTGAGCCCATCGTTGGAGCTGCTGTGTCAGTCCATTTGTTGAGGGTCTTCTCCTTTTTCGCCGACCCTCTACTTTACCAAGCATGATACCCTCCTCCAGGGACTGGTCCCTTCTGACAACATGACCAAAGTAGGTGCAATGAAGTCTGGCCATTCTTGCTTCTAAGGGCCATTCCAGCTTGTTAGAGCATACAGTAGGGTAGAGGTAAGGATTAAACATGCCTAGCACATAGTAAGGGTGCGATAAACATTTGACATTTTTCTCTCTAGACCATTAAGTATCGTAGCCACTTGTATGTGCATTCATTTCCTTATTGTTGACTCAAGGTGGTCAGTTCTAGGCTACAAAAAATTCCTAGATAAAGATAAGTAAATAATAGTCTGCCTAAGGGACACTTAATACAAATGATGCACTGGTGATACTTTTTCTTCTTTCCTCTGCTTACCTTGACCTTAAATTAAGTCTGGACATCAAGTTAGTGATTGTATCAGTTTTTCTGGATGTCATTGAGAGACGTGTGTTGCAGCTTCACTATGCTTAAATCAAATGTTAATTAAAAATTGGATATTGTAGTGAAGTGCAGTAAATTCTGCCTAATTCTGTAACCTCTAAGTTCTCATTAATTCTATAACCCTGGCCTACTGGACTAAGCTTAGGTGAGGATATCAGGAATTTTTAGGGTCTGTTATTAACTGCATGCCTCATTGTGTGTGAAAGCTGGACAATGACTAAAGAAGACTGGAAAAGAATTGATGCATTTGAATTATGGTGTTGATGAAGAAGATAGAATATTCCATGGACTCCCAGAAGAATGAACAAATCTATCTGTCTTGGAAGAAGTACAGCTGGAATGGTTCTTAGAAGTGAGGATAGTGAGACTTGTCTTTCAAACTGTCATGTTATCAGGAGGGACCAGTCCCTGGAGAAGGACATCATGTTTAGTAAAGTAGATGTCAGTGAGAAGGAGGAAGATCACAATAAAATGGATTGACACAGTGGCTATAACGATGAGCTCAAAAATAGCAATGGTTGTGAGAACTCCAGGCAATGTTTCGTTCTGTTGTACATAGGGTCGCCATGTGTTGGAACCAATTCAACAGCACCTTAGAATAATAACTAGCTGTAAGGAGCCCTGGTAGTGTAGTGATTAAAGCACTTGGCTGCTAACCGAAAGGTCAGCAGTTGAAACCCAATTGCCACTCCATGGGAGAAAGATTTATGGCTTTGGAAGCTTTATGGGGGCAGTTCTACCCTGTTCTACAGAGCCGCTGTGAGTCAGAATCTTGTCGACAGCAGAGGATTATTTATTTATTTAAATTATCATTGATTGCAACCCTTTGCTGTTAATGGAA